TCCTGTGACCCGTTCAATTGGCGACTATTCTAGGGGTAACTTCGCCATTCTTTCTTTTTGAAAAGAACGATGGCCGAAAAGAATGGGGAATCAACCCCTAGAACTATGGCCCCTCCCATCTGCTCATCTTTGTGTAGTGGAGGATCTCTTCAGCATGGCCGCTTGCAAACAATCGCAGATGACCCTTTCCCCAAGAGATCCAAAGGATCGTGTACTATCGTGTTGAAGCAACATACGTAGTCCAACAGTGAGTCTCCGCCATGGGCAGTTGAGATCTGCCCCTCAATATGCCATCCAGAGCAGGTTTGGGACGTCCACAAATTCAAGGGACGCCCACAACCTGGACCACGTGGGGCTAGTTAGAAACCCCTAAGGCGAGCATTCGAAGTATCGCCGGGACGCTCCAGATCCAGCTCCGCCAGCGTGAGCCTCATGAGTACCACGCCCACAGTGCAGCCCGCCTGCGCATGTCTGGAAGATCGGGAAACAAAGCTCCAGAAAGCGACTGTTCCCTGAGCTTGTCCCGAAATCCCCCGAATCCATTCCAGCGAAACGGTCGCCTCGTTGAAGCCGGCGGCCTCTGCCTCAACCAGATCCTGACGAACGAGAAGCCACTGAGCCACCGAACTGAAAGATCATCCCGAGAAAGCCTGGGGAGTTCCAAAGGAACTTCTTTGTTGACATTAAATCTCTGCTTGGAAAACAAGGGAACCAATCCAGGCTGCACTTTGACTGCTGTGGTTTCGGATGCTCTTGCGTGAGAATGTGCTCACTCATGTGACCAGTCGCAACAGGCACAAGCTCGACAACATATTGATCCGTGGGAGCACAAGCACTGCATCAAACGCCAGCTGCTCCAGACCTCGACCATTTCTGTCCCGCTTTTGGGGCCACCCACCGGTCCCAACCGCGCGCCCCGCGCGACCCGCTCGCTGCTCCTCCGCGCGCTGCAGCTCCGCGCCCCGGGCCAAGATCCGCGCCTTCGCGGCCAGCCGCGCGGCCGCCGCCCGGGGCACCGCGCTCAGAGCCGCCAAGGCCTCCTCCGCGGCCTCGCGCGAGCCAAACCGCGCGGACTGCGCACGGGCCCCGGACATCCGAGCGGCGTGGTTTGGTTTGTTTTTTTTTGGGAAGAAAAAGCCCTCTCTTCGGGGTTGACCATTTTTAGTTGGACACCCGCACAAAAAAGGAAACGGCTCTGAGGTTCACATATCTTTTCAGGTTCCTGCACATCGCCCTGAGGTTCACATCCTGCACATCGGCAACGACAGCCCAAGTGGGCCAACTCATTTCCCCCAGCCGCCTTGAGCGCCTCTGGGTCAGCCTGGCGACGCCACGGGTATCAGTGTCCCGGTGCTTGCAGTCACGACTCTGCGTTTGCCTCCGGCTGCTTGTCTCCGTGCTTGCTTGGTCGAAATCGCAAAGAGGGTGCTTGTTGCGCGTGTCGCCCCATCAGCAAGAATTGCGCAAGTCAAGGAAGCATCCAAGCAAACGCTGAATTGCCGAAATCCATGGGGCTGTTGCATCTACCAAAATCCTGGCCACGCAAAAGCATTGACCCCGCCCTGCAACCCTCTGCTGGTTTCGGTTCCTTGGGACGCTCGAAAGTTAGCCTCGCCACGCGTCGGAGCGCGTTCGGAGCGCTCTCAGAGCGCTCTCGAACGCGTTCGGGCTCTCGGGAGCCGGCTCCATTGGCAGGCGCCACGGGCGCCACGTGCCAAGCACCACAAAAAACGTCGGGAACACAGGAACCATATCAAGCAAGGAAGGACCGCGCCACCTGAAGACCCTCACCCGAAGGTTCCCTCGGGCCTCCAGCAAGAGCTGCTCTGCTCTGCCCAGCAAGGCGCAGCCCTCCTGCGAAATATCTTGCCCACCATTTGAAGCAACATGGCATATTAGGAGACTTCCCACACTTTAAACATTGCGCTCTTTCTACAAAAACCTGACTGCAGCTCTACTTGCAGAACAACTTGATTCCCCAGGCACGTCTGTGATGGCAGGCTGCGCAGAGGCGCTTCTTGAGCCCCGCCGCTCTTTGCTCATTCCGACAAGTTGTGGTTGTACTGTCTGTGACGCCATCTGAATGGGTGCTTGCTATGTTTGAGACACATGCGGATTTGCAGGGAGTGTCCCAGAGAAGGTCGCTGATTCCTTTTTGAACAAGCCCAAACCACCCACCCACAAACCCAACCCAACACACCCAACCCCCTAAAACCACCCAAACCGCCCACCTACTCACTGCAACAACAAACCCACCAACCCAACAACAAACCCCCCACCACCCACCCGCAAACCCAACCCACGCCCAACCACCCAACAACAAACCCACCCCCAACAAACCCACAACCCCAAACCACGCAAACCCAACCCAGCCGCCCAACCACCCAACAACAAACCCACCCCAACAAACACCCGCCCCAACAACAACAACAACAACAACAACAACAACAACAACAACAACAACAACAACAACAACAACAACAACAACAACAACAACAACAACAACAACAACAACAACAACAACAACAACAACAACAACAACAACAACAACAACAACAACAACAACAACAACAACAACAACAACAACAACAACAACAACAACAACAACAACAACAACAACAACAACAACAACAACAACAACAACAACAACAACAACAACAACAACAACAACAACAACAACAACAACAACAACAACAACAACAACAACAACAACAACAACAACAACAACAACAACAACAACAACAACAACAACAACAACAACAACAACAACAACAACAACAACAACAACAACAACAACAACAACAACAACAACAACAACAACAACAACCCAACAAACACAAACCACCCCAACCCCCCCAAGCTTCTCACACGATACACGTAGGTGTCTGCCGAGCTCTTACACATGCTCAAGATGGCCTTTCTGAAAGGCACTGCGGAACTGGCAGGCTCCAAGTATTGCATTCCTCCTCCCGCAAAACAGATGGGGCCAGCGCCGCCTTGGCAGTCTGATCAGACAGTTGGCTGGGAGGTCTCCAGAGCCGCTGCCCGTTGCTCATGCTCTCCAGGATTCTCCCCACCCACCAGGCGGCTTTGCATATCATATGGCTTCTGGCCAGAATCATCAAGGCCACTTGCAAGAACCTTGGGCTTCCTCAAAAACAGCTGCCAAAACAAGTCAGGCGGTTCAACCTCACGCCTCCCCTGCACTCTGGACGTGGCTGCATGGCTTCATGCACCTGTCTCTGCCCTCGCTCCTTGGATGCCTCAGGCTGGTAGCCTCGGCACAAATATAGGTGTGGCCGCCAATGTTCTGAACAACCAGTTTCGCAAGAATACGGACAGAGCCATGGTGACCCAGAGCACAGAAGCTTTGTCAAACTAAATAAATATTGTCTGAAAGACTAAGAGTAGCGCACTATTGACATCGACTGTTGGGTTGCCGAAGCTGCCAATGTTGGTTGGCCATGAGAGCACACATGCGGCTGGCCTCATCCGAAACAGACACAAACACACCGATGGTCCTAAGGAGAAAATTGGAACCACGCAGCTTGTGCTGTTACCCAGTACAGCCTTCAAGGGCAGACATCTTCAATCATGCTATTGCCATGAAGGCAAGCAACTTGTTCAAGGGTGCGCATTGAAGCTGATCGCTGGATGCCTGTGCTCTGCAAGGCTGCGTGGGTGTCAAACAGAAGTTCAGGAATGCGGTATGACCATGTTCGGTGTTGCCTCGCAGGATGACCGCAACACTCGGCTCGCATTTTTTGAGTCCAGCGGCACTGCGACAGTTCATCAGGAAGAGGCGGACCATAAATGTGGAAGCCTCGACCTGGAGCAAAGCCCGGAAGCGATGAGCATCTGGATCTGACAAAGTCGAAAAAAAGAGTTGCCGCCTTCGTTGAAATGCGCTGCGCCGGAGTTCAGCGTTTAGGGTTTAGGGTTTGGGGTTTAGGGTTTATGGATCCTCAGACAGTTGGGCCTGGGGCCACTGCCTGAGCACCAAATCTGCCTGTTCAGCTGCTCACAGTCTTTCCGTCGAGCAATGTGTTCCGTGCAAAAAACAAAACATAGAGCGCATGCAGTATTCAAAGCATGGCAAAGCTCTCAGAGAGGCATACATGCTTGAACATTAAGCTTCCCACTTTTATTTTGCTTCAGCTCCAAGTGCGCTGGCAGTTCCACACAGAGCTAAGGGAACCCGGTTTGAGCTGACAAGGGCACACCATCCGGAAGCGTGGCTCAACAATCAACCTGAAGCACGTTCGCTCGTCCGTCCACACTGGAGACAACAAACCTCAAACCTACGAGAACACAAACCCAACGCTTCAGTGATGCATCGGCCCGCGACCGGCAACCGAGCCCCCCTGCCAAGTTGAAAGCAGCGCCGGTCGAAGCCGTTCACTTGCCACATGCTGCGAGTGGAGCGCTTGTTCAAAGGGAAAGTCAATCAAAAAAATGCGAGAATCCTGACCTTCCGAATAGGTTGGTTTGAAAACAGAATCAAAATAGAGCAATTGCCATTTGTAGCTGGAAAGAAGGCTTTGTGCTGCTGTGGGTCTGATCAAGGTATTTGCGCAGAGGACAAGCCACGCAGCTGCAAAGCGCGAGGGGAATGGAAAACTGGCTGTTGCTGCTCCAGCCAACGTCAGTTTCTGTGTGACACCCGGAAGGTTCATGGAGGCAATGCAAATGTCTGGCAAATGTAGTCAGAACCCGAGCATTGGGCATCGCAAGTGCTGAACATGTTGCCACTCATTGTTCAGCAACGCAACCAAGCGTCAGAAAATATGATCGAGCACGTCACATCGCAAAGTCAGAATGATCAACGGAGCCAAACCCGGGTCTCGGCCACCCGCTCTCCTAGTGGACTCAGCGGCCTGGCGGGAAATGCGAAAAGTGCAACGAGTTTGCGGACAAATCTCCCATGCCCTCTCAGTTCATTCCAAATAGCGGCACCACAGCCCAGGCAATGCGGTCTCTCAGAGCCAACCTCTGCGTGTCCACGTGTTTGTCGCGAATCCGCAAGATCAGAACAGCTCCCTTTGGGAGCCCAGCGCCAACGCGGGCATCCCTAAAACTCCATCGATCACTGAAGGCCACTGTCAGCCTCTCAGGGTGAATCCATCCATCGTCGTCAACCGCCCACTACTTGCCAGAGGTCACCGCGGAGGTGGCACTGGTGATGGAAGCCTCGCCCTGCTGCAGGGATCGCCACTGCGAGTTGAAGCGGCCCTCCTGCGGATGCGAGGCACGAGTCAAGTTCCATCTGGAGATAGCGCTCTGGGGCGCATCACTTTGCCATGTTGCCAAAAATCGAAACACTCAATCCAGTCAGTATTCCCAAACGGCACATGCAATCACATCTTCTCTTGGAAGGTGGGAATCCCTGCCCCTCAGTTCTCTGGCGCAATGTGTCCTGGTCCAAACGCTCGAAGCCGTGGCGGCCAAAGACGTCCCGCTGCAGCGACACGCACTGCGCCGAGGGGATCTCCGTCAGGTACATCGTCTGGATGTAGTCCAGGGAGGCGAAGAGGCAGGGCACCGTGGCCTGGAGAGCGGCTGGACGGTCCCTTTATCCAGGGTGCTTGTACATACCCCTTTTATATACCCCTTGGACAAATTAACCCCAAAGGCCTGCTGATGTTCATCCCCCTCTCCCCAAAACGGTCATATACCCCTTATAAAGTGGGTTGGAAACCACGGAAGCCAACAAGTATGAACAAGGGGTGTGTACTTCCAATACAAGGTCCCTTGCAAAAGTGATGAAGGCCCGCACGAAAAGGGAATACCTATTCATCAACCAAGCTGCAAGGAGGTCACTGCGGGAAAGCAAGGGACTAGTCAACTCTCCCACTCTGGTCTGCAACTCAGGGTTTCGCGCCATCCCGATATTCTTAAGTGCTGCATTGACCACCTGGACATTCATGCACTCACCCCACCTTGGTCTCTTGAGCAACCCGGCCCACCAGGCGTTTGTAGCGCGCCATGTGGCTCTGCACCTCCGGCTGGAAGGCGGAGAGGAGGTTCGGCAGCTGCGGGTTCTCCTCGAAGGCCTTGGTCATGGGCTCCAGGAGAAAGCCCTGCAGGATGCACCCTGCGCGGAAGGTGGCGATGGTCGCCGGCAGCTTCAGCCCAAACTCGAAGACCTGTCGGAGCTCGGCTACACGCGCGCTGGACATACATTGGCAGAAGCGGACCCGCGGTGTTTCGCAGACCCAACGCCTCGTCCATCTTCCGAAGGCATTGAAACATCTGCGCATAAGAGGCGATGATGGCGAAGCCTGCTGCCCAAAAAAGATCCTCCTGCAAAACGGACAGGACAGCAAGGCAGGCTGGCTCGGTTATGCATTTGATTAAGACAATTCCTGGGAGTTGTATGGCACATTGGTTTTCATGTTTGTCGTGTCGCGCTGCTTGCCGCCTGCCTTGTTTGCTGAGCTAGGCCTTGAAGTTGTCGCGCTGCAAAGAATATATTTTTGCATGGTGACGGCACAACTACGCGCAACAGCCTTTTCTCGCGCGTGCAGCTGCGTTTACAAGACAGAACGTGATCGTTGCCACTCCTTCTGTCTTTACGTGCGGCCCAGTGCAACCGCCCCTGTGGCCTCATTGATTGAAACGCACTAGGCGCGGGGTTGTAAAACGAGAAGTGGCCCGTTGATGCCCTCTGTCTGCAACAGTCCTGCAAGTGTCGAAGCTGGCTCAGTCGACAGCGTAGAAACTCTGGCCGATGTCTGCGGTAGGAAACGGAGCTACGTTTTTTTTCAAAATGCTGACAATTGCACTTTAGACCTGACTATGCTGCTAAATTGCTTGAGCCTGTCAGTGAAAGCAACGGCAAATCTGAACAAACAAATGTTCAGCGATGCGCTTATATAGCTACGTTACGCTACATCGATCAGACCTTTGAGCCTGACTTGAAGAGCCAATTCACAAACTCCATCGTTGATCTTGCCAAACTGCTCTTCGTTAGACCATTAGATCGTCAAGCTCCCGATCTGTCACATTGCCGCAACGCCTTGACGGTCGTTGCCACTCGTGGCTCGGAAGGTCTTAGCGTGGTAGATCGGTTGCTAGCCTCTCGATTGGATCGCAGCTCCCGGAATGAGACAGTGGACGAATGCGTGGCGCGACTTGAAGCCACGGACCCACAAGTTCAGCACGCATACAACTCAGAAAGAGGCCGCGAGCGGACCGTGATACACGTGAGTGAATCAACACACACACATCATGAAAAGTATAAACACCCCATACACAAGTGCGCAACCCTCTGTAGGGAACCACTGTCAACGTACATTTAACCTACATTTGGGTGTTTGTTTCTGAGGGCTACCCATTTTAGAGGCTGTCGCAAAGGGAAACCACAGCTGAAGCGAGGTCCGTCCTCCATCTCCTTGCTCCAAGTTCCCTTTTCTGGCTGAGGCAGCGGTATGGCCTTCGCATTGGAGAGACGCTCCTGGGCGATCGAAGTCTCGCGATGCAGTGAATCCATTGGTCCTCTGTCCGTGCTTGTTCTTGGTGGAAGTGGAACAACCCTCCAACAGCCATGTCCTTGTATGGCATAGTTTGAAGGCCCTATTGAGAAGAAGCAGGTCTCAAAGGAAAAGAGTGCGCTCGTGGAAAAATGCGAAGGCTACGCAAAACTGTGCCGGGGGCGTGTTCATTACATTTGGTAAATGGGAAGGACAATAGGAGAAGGTTTAGAAAGACTCTCCCACAACGGCTTGTCGCCGTTCGCGGCCTGCACAAACGGGAACTCAGCCCCACAAAAGGCCATGGGTTCATACACGGACCTATCCAATCGGCCTACTCCCCGACTCAACGAATGGCCCACACGAAGGTCCCCCCTCCTCCCGCAACATGGACATTTGCCGCGCCAGCACGGCTGCAGCCAGGGAGGGAGCAGGCACTGCTGCCTGCAGAGCCTCCACGACGCTCCAAAGGCCGGTGCCTGCGAGGCGACGAATACACGGAGTGGCTACCTCAGCCAAATAAGAAATATATGCTGTTCATGTGGGTGTGGCTCACAATTCAAGAGCTGGGGTTAAGCAGCTGTTCGTCTTTGGTTCCTTTTACCAAGCTGGCTGGTACATTTATTTGAGCCACAGCTATGCGCTTCTTCTTTCACTTACACGCAGCTAGAGTTTGGTTCAATGGTGGAGGGGATGGACCGAAAAGGATTAAGCAATCCACCACAAGCCACGGGGTTCCTAAAGCCTCTTGAAAAAGCAATCGCCCGTCTGTGGTGCCTTTGGAGTCGGTCTTGTCCATGGTCTTGGAAATCAGCGACGAGCCATCATCCTGAGCATGAGCCACCATTCAAATGCGTTGACTCTTGTTGGGCAGGCGCAGGGAGGGAGGAAGGGAGAGAGGGAGAGGGAGAGGGAGGGAGAGGGGGAGAGAGGAGAGGGAGAGGGAGGGAGGGAGAGGGAGAGGAGAGGGAGAGGGAGAGGGAGAGGAGAGGGAGAGGGAGAGAGAGGGAGAGGGAGAGGGAGAGGGGAGAGGGAGAGAGGAGAGGGAGAGGGAGAGGGAGAGGGAGAGGGAGAGGAGAGAGGGAGAGAGGGAGAGGGAGAGAGGGAGAGGGAGAGGGAGAGGGAGAGGGAGAGGGAGAGGGAGAGGGAGAGGGAGAGGAGAGGGAGAGGGAGAGGGAGAGGGAGAGGGAGAGGGAACGGTCACGCTCGACTACTTGCACCTCACAAGCGCGCTCTGGTGCGCAAGGGCTTCCAAACCAGGCTGGGCGCGGCGGACCGAAGAGCCCGTAAAATGGAGGCGCTGAAAGATCTTGCCGACGACTTCAACGTGCGGGACCCCGTGAGCTGTATCGCCTTGCGAGGCAGCGAGACCTCGACGTGACGCAGGCTATGGCCTTCGAGGCGCTGAAGGCCGACGTGGCGGCAGGTACAGGCGCCCCGGCCACGTGCGCTGGGCAAGTCGGCTGCCGAGGGGCCGAACCGGATGGAGACCAGGTACGGCCTGGTGGGGGTCATGGACGTCTTTACCCGGGAGGCTGCCGCGGAACATTTGCAGAACAAGACCGCAGAGAACGCAGGAGCTGACGGGGGACGACGAGAACTTCGTGGTCACGACCGACCTGGGCAACGAGTTCGCAACGGTACGGCCGTGGTGGACCGGGAAATCCAGACGCTGAAGAAGGACCTGGCCACGCGCGTGGCCCGCAGGGCGGGCAGTGGAGCGACCACTTCGAGCGAGCAGCCGGGGCCGGGGGCCTACAACGCCCGGGACGTGAGAAGCAGCCGGCCACCGAGTTCTGGCTGCTGCAGGACAACGCCGACAAGTTCCAGCACAACAAGGACCTTACGGACCGGCGCATCAAGGCAGTGGAGGACGCGGGTGCTTTCCGAGCTCCGACGAACGCGGCGAGGAGCTTCAACGCTCAGTACGGCAACGTGCAGCAGCTGCGGGCCGTGGACTCCATGACCGTCCAAAGCACGGAGGGCCGGGAGACTCTGCTGAAGCTGCCGGGCGAGGGAGAGGGAGAGGGAGCGGAGGGGAGGGAGGGATGAGGGAGGGAGGGGAGCGAGAAAAGGGGAGAGGGAAAGAGAGAGACAGGGAGAGGATCATGCTCACTCTATTTCACAACGTCCCAGAGAGAGAGAGAGAGAGAGAGAGAGAGAGAGAGAGAGAGAGAGAGAGAGAGAGAGAGAGAGAGAGAGAACACGGCTGCACGACAGCCGAGTATCCGCGCCACCTGCCACAGTGCTGTCCTTTGCTTTCACCACCTCAATGGTAATGTCCAACATGTAGGAGTCCAGCAACCCCGCGTAGCGGCCTCCAGTCTTGGTCTTCCATGACTCCAATAGCTTCGCCTGGTCATCGCCTGAAACGCCGTAGGCTTTCAGAATTTCGTGCACCTCGCCCCAGATTTGCAGCACTGCATACTCGCCAGCATTGTGGAACCTGGCTGCAAGGTGTGCTGGTACCTCTTGTTTCGGACTTTCCAGCATCTCTTGTTCTATTGTTCGACAAGCATGGAGCCACAATAATGTGATGGTTCAGTCCAAGGCACATCTTGACACAGGAGCCAGCTCCTCCCTTGCCGTTCATGGTCGCGCAGGGCCTGCCATCTGTTGCCTTGGCAGCAGCAGCCTCCACTATGTCTTTGACGTCATTCCATACCTTGGCTGCAATCTCACACCCTTGCACACATGTGGAGCACGTGCAGCTTGCCTTGCGAGCTTGCCACATCGGTACAACAGCAGCCAAACACATCCCATCCCATCGGTACAACAGCATCCTTGGGTGCGTGCATGTGCTTGGGTGCCTGCGGGCAGGCATCAGAGGGGTGTGGGTGTGGGTGTGGATGTGCACGTGCATGTATGGATGTGTGCGTGCAAAGGCAAGCAAGAAGCAAGCAGGTAAGGAAGCAAGCAAGCAGGCAGGCAGGGAGGCAGGTAGGCAGGCAGGTAGGCAGGCAGGTAGGCAGGCGAAGGAGCGAGCGAGCGAGCATGCAAACATGCAAACATGCAAATATGCACAAGTGCCAACATGCAAATATGCACACATGCACATTGTCCCATCCTGGCGAGTAGAGACAAATGATGCACATGGCTTCTCTCGACTGCAAATGATGGATATCATTCTAAGCGTTCAGGCTCCGCTCTCTCTCTCTTCTTCATATCTTGGGAGTTTGGGCAGGAAGGAATGGCCAAAATGGAAGTGAGGGCTGAGGAAAGATGAACCACTCCCTTTGTTCGCTCCCATGGTATGACCAAACAAGAAGTCAATTGACTGGCCACCCTTCTACCTCCAACCGTTCCAAAGCCCGAGGTGCTACAAGTTGTAGCTGGAGAACCTTACATGGGAAGTGATAGAGACATACTGTGGACGAAATCCAATTCGCACCACTTTGAAACCATGGTTGAAACCATTGTTGTGGGTATTTACCAGGGAATCGAATCATTCCAGGGTTTCTTGGGTGGTGCAACATCTCGTCCATCCACAATAGAGTGAGCGAAATTGCAGGCATGCGCGTGTCTGCAAATGAGTGTACTGCGGGAAGGGGTCTGCAGCTCATGTCTCTGCGGTGCTGAGATTTGTGTCAATTGCAGTCGTCCCTATGTTTCTTTGGGACATTTCTGGGTTTCCATAGAAGCAATCACACCTCATAAAGCCCGAAAAGAAAGTGAAACAAAACTATATAGATATACAGATATACATATGTACATGTATATGTGTATGAGAAGGAAAACCTCTCCACTGGATCAGCCCAGCCCAGAGCCAAAAAACAAACAACTCGAGGCAACCAAAAACAGCAACGAACAAAAAAGAAAAAGAAATACTCAAACACTGGTTGCGACAGAGTTTGTTGTCTTTGGGGGGTTTCTCGGGCCTTGTGTGGTTTGTAGTTTCGGGCAGGACTGGTCCAGTGGATGGTTTTCATTATTGAAAGGATGTCCTACTTAGAATTTGAGATAAAAATTGACTTTCGAGATAAACATTTCTTGAATACATGGTGTTTAAATGCTAGTTGATGTGTGAAGACAATTCTATTGGAAAGGAAATCCTGTGTAGAATCTAATGAATAATTGCTAAATACATTCTAGTTGAGTAGAAATTATGTGTTGGAGTCGTTCCTTTTCAAGTTCTATTTAAACTCTAGTTGGTCTATTTGACAAGGATCTCCAACTAAATTCTAGATTTGAGGTAGAACTTCAAGTATGATTCGGAATACGTATTTCCTTTGACCGCTGCACAAATTTGTGCTTTTTCCCGCCTGGCAGAGCCAGGTTTTTAGCCACTTGCCAACACAAGAGAAGCGCTGCGAAGGGGGTGGCGATAGGCCTCTCAAGGTGGAGATAGCTGAGAAAGCGTTCTTCCGCGAGTTGACACGCACGCACTCTTCCAGCCCCAGGATTGGACGGGCCTCCAAAAAAGGCAATCCGCTGCCTGTTTTACAAAAGGGGGACTGAAGACGGGTAGCGGACAGGGTGCAGACCTCGTAGTGGTACCTACGAAGGTGGGCAACGCCTCTTGAAGAGAAGAGGGGTAGATGGCCGGGCCTTTGGCGCACTTCCCCTCTATTTGGCCATGGGTCAAAATCCAAATTTCGTACCCCCAGTAAACATCCCAATCCCCACTAAAATAGGTTCTAAAATGGGTGGAGCAGCCTTAACAGCAGCAGCACAAGCCCTAAACCCTAAACCCTAAACCCAGCAAGCCTAACATTGGTGTTGGCCCCCGGCCATTTTGATACGCTGGTGGTCTGCGGTGGGTTGGGTGGAAATCACTCTTGGCTGCAAGGAACCGGAACTCCTTAGCCCTGCAAGGGCCTTGCTCTGCCGATGAGCTGGCGCAGTTGAGTGATCGACCCGACTCGAGTAGGTGCCAAGAGGGCGAGAGCTCGTAGTGAGACAAAAACCGTTGACTTGAGAGCCAGCGGCCGAAGGAGGAAGGAGGTCGAACCTCCGCTAGGCCTCGACACCAATGGACCAAGCGCGGGAGCCAGCTGCGGATGTGAGCCTGCAGCAGATGACCAAGCAGTCGTCAGGACAAGGAGGAGACAGTGGCTACCAAAGCCCGAACAACCTCCCACCCGTCGCCAGTGGGTTTGGCCGTCAAACTGGAGGGGCCGGCTCCCGATGATTTCTGTCCTGATTGACAGGAGCCGGGGACCTCTGAGGAGTGCCCAGAGAGGATGGCCGCCGCCGGAGCCTGAAGACAAAGAGAGTCGAAAGGAGCGAAGAATGAAGCGACGATCAAGGGAAGGAGGCTGACAGCGCCAGAGCAGTGAGCCGCAAGCTCCGTGCGCATCTCTCAAGAGGAAACGCCTGAAGACAACCAAGAATCCATCAAGCTTGAGCAGCCGGAACGGAACGAATGTAAACATCGACCTGATGGGTGTCAGTGTCAATGCATGAATGCGTGAATAGATTCATGTGTAAATTTATACATTCGGGCGGGTGGGTGGGTAGTAATGCAGGCAGGCATGGAGGATACGTAGGTCATGCATTTGTACAGAACCACATGAGTGCGATGTGCACGCTCCCACGTATCTTTTCACGCATGATCTTTAAGTTCATCCAAAATCCACCTCTGACTCTGAAAAAAAAAACACCGGCATCACCCCAGCATCACAACCAGCATCCCCACGGCTCCCGGCGAGGTGCGCTCAGGGTGCCCCCGGGGAAAAAGGCCGGGCCCTTGCGCGCGCCCTCCGCGCCCCCGGAGACGCCCATGCCCAGGAACCTCAGGCCGCGCTGCTCGAGGCTCTCGGCGCGCCGGATCTGGTCCCGGAAGTTGGCGTTGCCCACGTCGATGATGATGTCGTTCCTGCGGTTGAAATGGCGGGTCAACATCCAAATTTCGTTCCCCTGATAAACATCCGAGTCAATCCAACCACTAAAATAGGTACTCTAAAATGGGTGGTGCACCTACCCCAAAATGGTACCATTGGTTCTGACCCACAACCAAATGGACTCCACTTCTGTGGTACAACCAAAAGGGCCCAACCCCTTTTTGACATGTTCCCCCTGTTTTAAGGAGGGATTCCGGAAGTGGAGATAAAACCCCGACATCTGGATGATTCCCTTGCAACTGTTGAATCGCACCGGCTGGAGACATCGGACAAACCTTGGAAAGCTAGAACTACGTCAGCCCATCAGCTTCCCAAAGTTTGGTCAGAGGCGTTGCTGTCTGGGGCGTTTCAAGACCTCCGGCCAACCGGCAAAAAAGCAAGGCCCACTCTACCCAGCGGCTTCTGGAAGAGCTTGGCAAGCTCCTCGATGACAGCATCCGTGGGCTTCCCTGCAGGCACCAGCATGATGGCCTTGCGCGGCCGCTTCAGCGACGCCACAAAGTCCTTCAGCTTGTCTTTCCCTCCGAAGCCATGGAGGTTGCTGTAGCTGGAGTTGGCTGCCAGCACCCCATTCACCTGCTCGGGGTTCAGGTCGTAGAGCGACACGTGGAACGGCTCTCCATCGGGGCTCTTCTTGTCGGCGATATTGAGCCCCAGGTTGGAGCCCATGACGCCGCTCCCAATGATCCCAACATCGGAGACAGACTCCATGGCTCACAGAAATTGAGCCCAGCTGCAAGAGCCGCAGCGCATCGGGAAGAACCTGATCTGCCCTCACGAATCGCCCAAAAGCCCGAAAGCCCAGGCATCTATCCAGCGCTTGCCGAAACTCAACTTGTTCGTGGTGGGTGCACCAAGGCCCAGCTGGCAGAAAACAAGCCTGGCTCGCGTACCTGGACCTAGCAAATGACAGAGTTGCATTCTTCAAACGCAACACGGCATGGTCAAAGTCGACGGCACTCCTGCCTCTGTCATGCACGCGGGCCCCATGCTCATGCGCCAATGTGATCCGCCTAGCAAGGCTCACCATAGTTGCCCTTAAAGATCACCCAAAGGAAGCAGACTTAAAATTGATTCCAAACGTGATGGAAGTGACTCAAAAGGGAAATATGAGCACTCTGCCTAAGCCAACATCCATTTCAAAACAGAACGATCTGTGAACATGCCGGTGCCTGGAATGCTTGTTGCGGAAGGCCTGACAACTTGACTCCCAGGCCACCTGGTTTTACCCAGCTGAGGGCGCTGCACGGAGCAGAGTTCAGTGGCAGAAGACAGAGCCACGCTGGAAGCAAACGGCTCGGCTCAGCGGCGTGGGAGCGGGCGCAGACACGTGCAGTCATGCGCAGGACCTCCATGCAATAACTCCAAAGGCCATCAACTGTGCCATCCGCACTGTGCCATGGGAACATGTCAAGCCATGCTCCATGGCTCGCTCTTCATTGCTTGACAACTCACGTGGCCGTTGCCTGGAGAGCGCCGACAAGGCGGCCACGGTGATGCTCTCAGAGTCCACCTGCCCGGCATCGACTCCGGTCACTTCAGATCCCACCTCCATGGCAGCGCAACCTACGCAATTTGTGGCACCCGTCCCACAATTCGCTGGATTCTCTATGCCACAACCCATCCTCAATTGCAATGCCCATGTCCAATTTGTCCTATGCCGGAAGCTGACAAAAACATGGGTCGGCCTGCAATGTCGAGGAAAACAAGTGCCCCCCTCGCACTTGCCTCAAAAAATCTTCTGAGAGCGGCCCGGGTGTCGGAGCGCCCGAACCTGCCGGAACCACACGAGTTCATTCCCTAAAGACTCATGTTTGAGAGCATAAGGTGGAGACCGTGTGCCAAAGACTTCAAGCATCAAGATCCACTGTGCAAAGGTAAAGCATGTTGATGTTCATGTCTTTCACAAAAAGATGTTAAACGCGCTGCTGACCGCAAGGCACGCGTGACACACTGGGCAGCGCACCCGTCAGTGCCGAGGATCACCAACTCCCCCCCGATGTACTTTTCAACGAGCTGTGGGTATGCGATCTGAGCACGGCCGAAGCTATTAATCCAGCTCTCATCAGTGGGTAAGTTGCTGTTAACATTCCTCTATCAACAAGCTTGCCGAACTAGATGCCCAAGAAGCCGCTACGGTATCGATTCCTGAGCAAAGACACCTGAAAGGGCAAAAGCTGTGGCCAAACAAAAAGACGAGCGAGGGCGGGCAACAGCCGGGGCGCCACGTTGTCGGAGGCAATGACCGTCGAGCCGGTCCAGTCCCCGAGGCAGTCCGCAACGTGACAGCTGGGTTTTGCCTGCGTTTGCCGGACGATCCAGGAACCTCCAGGAACTGGCTGGTGAACAACCCAAATGAAGAATAAGTATCTAGAAACCAGGACTGGTCAGGTAGAAGACCCCATTCATGAGAATGCTGAGGCTGCGAGGAACTGTATCTTGCTAAATAACAACAATCATTGTTCTCGTTTTCACTGCAAGACCGTTGGCGTAGCAGGACGTGCTGGATCAGTGGATCCAGCGCAAGATCATCTCCGCGCAGGTGCATTCTACATGCGTGTGCACAAAGGCTGTTCCCACGATCCTCCAGTTTATAGGACAACCCCTGCAAGAACCTTCACTTCAAGCCAAGGGATCAAGCAGGGATCCTAGCAGACCTTAAGAAAGGGCTTGTTGCACGGAGTTTCCCCAAAAGGCCAAGGACAAAAAAAATTGGTGGTTCCCCTGCGTCGCTTTGGAGCGGGCTGCTAGTACCTAAGTTCAAACCCCCCAAATGATGGTTCTCCCCCAACAAAAGAAGACAAAGTTGAACAAACGCAAAAGTTCAAACCCCCCAAATGATGGTTCTCCCCCAACAAAAGAAGACAAAGTTGAACAAACGCAAAAGTTCAAACCCCCCAAATGATGGTTCTCCCCCAACAAAAGAAGACAAAGTTGAACAAACGCAAAAGTTCAAACCCCCCAAATGATGGTTCTCCCCCAACAAAAGAAGACAAAGTTGAACAAAACGCAAAAGTTCAAACCCCCCAAATGATGGTTCTCCCCCAACAAAAGAAGACAAAGTTGAACAAACGCAAAAGTTCAAACCCCCCAAATGATGGTTCTCCCCCGACAAAAGAAGACAAAGTTGAACAAACGCAAAAGTTCAAACCCCCCAAATGATGGTTCTCCCCCGACAAAAGAAGACAAAGTTGAACAAACGCAAAAGTTCAAACCCCCCAAATGATGGTTCTCCCCCGACAAAAGAAGACAAAGTTGAACAAACGCAAAAGTTCAAACCCCCCAAATGATGGTTCTCCCCCGACAAAAGAAGACAAAGTTGAACAAACGCAAAAGTTCAAACCCCCCAAATGATGGTTCTCCCCCGACAAAAGAAGACAAAGTTGAACAAACGCAAAAGTTCAAACCCCCCAAATGATGGTTCTCCCCCGACAAAAGAAGACAAAGTTGAACAAACGCAAAAGTTCAAACCCCCCAAATGATGGTTCTCCCCCGACAAAAGAAGACAAAGTTGAACAAACGCAAAAGTTCAAACCCCCCAAATGATGGTTCTCCCCCAACAAAAGAAGGCAAAGTTGAGCAAAACGCAAAAGTTCAATCCCCCCAAATGATGGTTCTCCCCCAACAAAAGAAGACAAAGTTGAACAAAACGCAAAAGTTAAATCCCCCCAAATGATGGTTCTCCCCCAACAAAAGAAGACAAAGTTGAACAAAACGCAAAAGTTCAAACCCCCCAAATGATGGTTCTCCCCCAACAAAAGAAGACAAAGTTGAACAAACGCAAAAGTTCAAACCCCCCAAATGATGGTTCTCCCCCAACAAAAGAAGACAAAGTTGAACAAACGCAAAAGTTCAAACCCCCCAAATGATGGTTCTCCCCCAACAAAAGAAGGCAAAGTTGAACAAAACGCAAAAGTTCAAACCCCCCAAATGATGGTTCTCCCCCAACAAAAGAAGACAAAGTTGAACAAACGCAAAAGTTCAAACCCCCCAAATGATGGTTCTCCCCCGACAAAGGAAGACAAAGTTGAACAAACGCAAAAGTTCAAACCCCCCAATTGATGGTTCGCCCCCAACAAAAGAAGGCAAAGTTGAACAAAACGCAAAAGTTCAAACCCCCCAAATGATGGTTCTCCCCCAACAAAAGAAGACAAAGTGGAACAAACGCAAACACCACCGGCTCCCTTCGCAAGCCTCGTGAGGTCTCAGTCGACCCTGGCGCTCCGCGCGCACGGCCTGCGCTGTGTGCTGGAGCTGGGGCCTTAAAACTCCTTCACTGCGGACGTTTCCGCAATCATACTCAACACCCGGTTTTAAAGATGGTCGCAATCCCAGAACCATTTTAAAGAATCGAAAAGGACTAACCTTCATCTACCCGGGTTTTGATTGTGGCTCAACTTGGGCGAACACCAGCCCATATGAAGCCCCCATGTCTTGTTTCAGATCTTTCCCAAGCAGATTGTGGTGCCACCGTGAAGCAATCAAACCAGCCACTCGATTTCGCCATGATTGCCTTAAAGAAGACTGGCAAATGATAGAGGTTCATGCCAACAAATGCCGTGAGGCTGTTGCGAACAATGCTTCAGCACTATGTAGTGGGTTGTTCAAGTTATACATGCCCAGGAACTTGTCAAGTTTATCAATGTAGAGAATGAGTCTTGCTTCTCTGCAACCGCGGATGAAAAGGCTTTAAACGCGCGCACAAATGCAGCAATAATGCAGTGCGCCAATGCATAGGGCCAGGGTAAACAGTTTAAGTTGCCTTCCGACTCCAGGCACGTGCATCGAGATACTGCCACAGCTGAAACGAATCCCACAAACCCCCGACGAGCTGCCCAGTGTTACCATGTAAGTACTGCCCCGCTTCCTCATGTCTTGGCCTTGTTGAGGCGTGCATGTGTATACATATATATATATATTGTAATGTATATATATATATATACACATTCATGTCCAGTTGTCTCAAAAAAAACTGCAAAAAAAGACTGTCTTCTCTCTGCTGATATCACCTTGCCTCCCTGTAGAGCTCTCCGTAGTTTGTTGCGCTCCAAATTTCTGAAGCCTGGGCAATGCCAAATCCGTCTCTTGCGAACACCTCACAATGCTTTACTCAATTGCTCCGGCCAGTGTCGAGACTTGCGCCGCCTTATGCACGCAAGCACTCGAATTCCCGTGAAAAGTGCAGCTGGGAAAATCTGTGGTATGCTCTGAACATCGAGAAGGCAAGTTGTGAGCGAGGAAAAAAGCACATTCGGGACAGGCGCAAGACCAGTCAAACTAAGCCAGCTGCCACTCCAAACTCTTCAAGCAGCTCAGCTGCCTCAATAACGGGAGGTTTCACATAGCCCAAGCAATCCTATCGCCTTCCACCGATTCAGTCGACCGAATGTCGGAAACCTCTGGTTTGGTGTCGAGTACTGCTTCAAGCTGAGCACCGCAAGTGCATGCCTTGTCTGCAGCTCTCAGAATGGCAGCGCCTTCAGCACCTGCTGCATGATCGATCCGGAGCCAATTAGCCTGGCCATACACGGCATCTGGTGCGGGCATCCAACGCAGGATGCGGGAAGACCCGGTCCAGCAGAACTAGTCAAAGCATCACTTTGAGTTAGCAACCTGCGCGAGGGGTTGCCCCCATCTTGCCCGGCCTCACGGTCTGCGCCATGCCTTCCTTTGCAGGGCGGAACTTGTAGAGGCCCTGCGGGGCGGAATGATGGCTGAGGATTGCGTGGAATGGGTAAGAGATGAGGTCAGAGATGAATGATGAGTGGACAAGTGAGCCATAATCAAAACCTGGTATTAAAATGGCCTACCCAAAGCCATGTAAGGAATTAAAAAGGCGGCTGCACCCATTTGTGGTTGGGACTGCCCCTGCTAACCTTCATCTACCCGAGTTTTGATTGTGGTTGAAGTGACCGAAAGGGGGGGAACGGCCATTACTCACCTGTTCATCTCCTCCATCACTCTCTGTCCATCCCTTCCCTCACCTAAGCAGCCCTTCCCTTTCCTCACTGTTTATAGGTGAGGGAATGGGATGGTCAGAGTGGTCCAATCTCTTCACTCTTCTCCTCTCCCTAGCTGCAGCGGGAGATGGAGGATGAAGAAGAGAGGAAGAGCTTACATGATAACTTCCATGTCTTTCCTGCTGATGCTCGTGTTCATCTCGTTCATCTCTTGGGAAGCTTCGCAGATGGGAGATGATAGAGATGGCATGCCAGGCTTAACAGCCGATGACAAACCTGGCCTCCCACCCTTCAAGCCAGTTCCTTCCACGGATAGGAAGGAAGCACGATAAGGAAAGGAATTAAGTGCCCTAGGGAAAGGCTTTGCATCTTGACTGTAACCAGATGCGCAGCTGTTGGCCTGTGCGTTAGAGCGGGTGGCAAAGACCTAGCTTTGCAGCCTTGAGGTTCCACCTCTTGATGCCAAGGTCACGGGGTTGCCACGGTCAAATTCACAGGGTTGTGGAGAATTCTTTCGACAGTTCGCGCGGTCCTTCCCATGGACAATGGACTACAGTTTGACCTCACCTCACGCGGCGACCTCTGTTCTGACCACCGGAGTTGTGTCGGGGGCACTCGAAATTCGAGCACCTCAACTTTCCATTGAGCGCCAGGTCAGCACCTCCTCAAGGGTGTCTACAAGGCCATGCAGCTCGCCGATCCCAGTCAGGCGCGGTGTCACAAGC